GTCCCAGAGCAGAGATCAGAGCTGTCCCTCTGAGGAGCTGCAATCCCAGTGAGCCTTTTCCTTTTCCCCAATCCAAATTCCCTCAGCCTCTCCTTGGATGGTCCCTGCAGGTCCTTCCCCATCCTTGCCCCACTCCCAGGTGGATCCACCCACACCTGGAGCCATCCTTGGCCAGCAGGAGCTGCCCCCGGGCAAACAAACACCTGGCTGGGCTCGCTGTGACACCGAGAAGAGTTTGGCTCCAGAATTGTTTTTGATAGCCAAGGACAAAATGCAGAGCAACCTGATCTGCTGAATAGGGCAGGGGGGTGAAAAAAGAGATTTAAGGTCCCTTCCAACCCAAACCATTCTCTGAATGTAAGAACTCCCTTCACACATCACAAGGTGAAGGGTCAAGGATTTTGACAAAAGCACAGCACAGCTCCTGAGCTCTCACAGGGCATTGTCTGAACACTGCCCCAAAGCTCAGAGGATGGAGAAATCACTGGGAAACAGGAACAGAAAGTCCTGGGATGGTGATTCCGTGTGATTCCTTTTTGGAGAGGGCAGAGTGTAAGGCACACCTGTGCCTCTCATGGAATCACAAAATTCCAGAATGGTTTGGGTGGGGAGGGACCTTAAATCCCACCCAGTGTCCCCCCTGCCATGGCAGGGACACCTCCCACTGTCCCAATGTCCAACCTGGCCTTGGGCACTGCCAGGGATGGGGAATCCACAACTTCCCTTGGAAAAAATAAATAAAAAAAAAAGGATCCCTCCAAAAAACGGTGTCATCCTGTCAGGCCCTGGAAGCCATAAATCAACAATTTTCAGTGGGTGAATCATAAACCCCAGGTCAGATTTTTCCTTGAGGTCACAGCAGAAATCCCCTCCCTAATTCCGTAGAACAAACAAACAAACCACGCTGGCTAAAAGGAAGCCCCCACCAGATTTTTTTTGTATTGTGACCAGAAAATGCCGAGTTTAAAAACTCCAAATCCAAAGCAGGAGCAGCCGGGAGCTGCCAGGGAAGGTGGAAGTGGCTGAGCCCGGCAGTGCAGGGACATTTTGG